AAAAGATTTAATAAAGCGATGGAAAATATTCAAGACGTTTCTAAGCTGTCGTCCTCGATAAAACACGATTAAATGAGCTCTCGGCGAGATTTCGCCGGGTCATCTTCAAAAACCTCAAAGCTGGACTTTTAAAGGGTCTCGCATTATCCTCGATAATCAAATTGTTTTTATGTATTACGAAGGGTATACTACAAAATGACCTGGTTGAATGCGCTCGTCATCTTTCACAAAATGACGAGTGCGTCCCACCAGGTCATTTTCAAAACAACGAGCGCATTCCATCGCATTTATTTGCAAAATTCCCAAAATGTTTAATAAATCGATGGAAAATATTCAAGACGTTTCTAAGCTATCGTCCTCGATAAAACACGACTAAATCAGCTCTCAACGAGCATATTTCGCCGCGTCGTCTTCAAAAAATCTTGAAGCTGGACTTTTAAAGGGTGCGTCCCACCAGGTCATTTTCAAAACAACGAGCGCACTCTATCGCATGTCTTTGCAAAACTTGGTAAAGTTTAATAAATCGATGAAACAATATTCGGGATGCTTCTGTGGTGTTTCGTCTTCAGTGAAACACGACTAAAAAAAAAAGCTAGCAATGAGCATATTTTTGAAAATGAATATCCGAACGTTGTCTTCGAGAAAAATACCGAAAAATTTTAAAATTCTCGTTATTGGTGCTCTGTCGTAGATATGCTTAGCAATTATACGCTAACATCTTGGAACAAAGTTACGAAGCGATCATCATGACGTCATCTTTGGAAAAGGCATGCCGGTTTTATCCCTGTATCTTATAAATATTACAAAGGTATCCTGCAAAATGGCTGGGTTAAATGCGGTCATCATGCGGCATTTAATACAACTAGCGTACCCAATCATGTCACAAACATCCTGTTATTCAAATGTCATCTCGTTGTCTTAAAAAACAAATTACCAAACATTTTAAAAAGCGAAGCAATTCGAAATTGTCTTTTTCAAACGAACATCGCTGAACAATTTCAGCATGTAAATTTAAAATACACCCAAGCGATTCCACGTCCTCACCTTCGAAAACGTCATTGCCTTCGAAAAAAAATCTGACCGTTGCCTTCGAAAAAAAATCTGACCGAATTCACCTGGTGCAACTGACGTAAGGGTTGTTTTTGATTCAAAATCACGAAGCGATTCCACACCGGTAATCATCAAAAAGTTGAACAGTTTGACTCGTCATCTTCATAAAAAATTATGACGATTTCACGTCATTTCTTCACGAAAGTAAAAAGGCCTGTGTCTTAGAAAAAAAATTACGAAGTCTTTCTGTACCGTCATCTTCGAAAACAATGCTGTGCGATCTACCTTTGTCATCTTTTACAAAAACTTGTTGGATCGATTTATTCACCAAGTTCATCTTCAAAAAAGTAGAAAAATCCTCATAATTACCGAATGCTACTACGCCATCTTCGGAAAAGCTGGCAGAGATTCCTCTTAACGTGTTCTTAAGTTTACTAAGCGTTTCCACGCCGTCTAATAAATTGAAAGGAAAGATTCCGCCATCGAAAACAAAGTATTGTGAAGCGATTTCGCGCCGTTATCTTAGATATTACTCACAGAGCGTTTTCGTTTCGTGATATTTCTAAAAAAAAGACTGACGCACTCATGAGAATGACGGGTTGAGTGCACGTTCACCAAGTCATTGACAATTAAAACGAGCGTTTGGCAACGCTTCGTCGTTATCTCGAATCGATTTCCCCTGTCCGTTAATTTTCACAAAATTGTAAAGCAATTTCAATTCGTTACCTTCGGGAAAACACCACAAAATCATGAGTCCGTTTTACTTAGTCAACATCGTCTTTCTTGTTTTCCCGTCGATGAGATCCGGAAAAGACAGAATTGCTGCACTTCATCAATTAAAACATTAAATGGTTTGGAAACCTGTGTTTGTAATTGGTTTGTATTCTCTGGTAACCGTAGCCTAACATTTTAATGTAGTGAGGCCTAGTCAAAAATTGATGAAATTAGCTAGGCTTAGAAATAAGACCTTACCGGGTACCTGACGTGACAAACTGATTTGTGTGGTGTTTTGCAAAAATCTTACCTGCCAAGGCCAATTTCTTGTTTTATCAGCCAGACAACACCAGAAGGAGAACTACCTTTGATAATACCGGTATGCCATGCTTGGAGAGGGACGTGCAACCTCAAGATGGGACCTCTCGGGATGATGTTGAGTGATTGGGACCAGGGCGAACTGGTGACGACCCCTGACTCTGCTTGAGTTGCTTGCCATTGTGAAATGGTAAGTTGCTCAAATCACAACGTAAAAACAATTCGTAAAACGTAGTAGTAAATTTGCTAATCGCAGATGTTCACTTCACTCTGTTCTTCTAAATACAGAGCTCAGGGATGCTGCTCCAAGACCGTTTCTACATCTAACGGGACGTAGTTCTGGAACGCCACTTACACAGCAGGAGGTCTTGGCTTGCCCCCGTCACATCTTTCAAGCCGTTAAGGTTCGCCTTACTTCTTGAACTCGAGCCCTAGATATTATATAGCCTCTTATCTGTTGTGGATCGGAATATTTACCAAACATATTTACAGCGCTAAGACCTGCCTGAGTTCAGTCTTGCGCTTGGTCATCAGATTTGCTCCCTTTTCACCAAACTTCCAATGAATAACGCAACCAGCACCATGAATGCTGTCAAATATGAATGACCCTCTTCATATCAGTGTCTCTGTAACTCATTTCAGCTTTAATCTGTTTGTGACCTCACTAAATGGAAATCAATGTGCACTGCAAAACAAGTGGTGTTAAATCAACACTTTTTGGCGTTTTCAGAGGGAAACACTATAGGGTGTTACTTTAGCACCGCTGGTGTTACAATTCACTAGAGGGTTCTCAAGGTAATACCAAAGTTTTAACACCAGTGAAAAGTGGTGTGTAGTCTGCTAATAACACTGGGGTGTTAAATTTAACACCAGAGATTTTGCATTGCGACAGTGCCCAAATATTTCCATAAATATCGACCACGTAAAGCACTTTTATACTTAAAAAACCATTCAGAAAAAAACAATTACGTAGTCCTCTGACGATAAACTATTTCTATGTCATTTATGCAGGTTCCTGACGACTACACACCGATGACATCAGTGGCCAAACGCCGAGGTTTTCTACCCCCTTTGACCTGGGCTTACATGTACTTCGTGGATGCGCTAATGTGCGCTTACAATTAGCATTCTATGCTTACATCGCTTGCACATATCCTATACAAGCTGAGTAAGCTGAAAATCTTTGCTTGGGATACGTCAATGTGCTTACCCAAATGTCCCTGCTAACCAACTCAAAAATACTTTTTAAAAATGATTTTTAACTACTTTGTACGGATATCGTGGGAACAGGCTGCCAAAACAAATTACTCTTTAAATGTGACACTGGCAGAAAACTGAACTGAAGACCAATTTGGTAGGCAACTGTTTGGAGTGGATTTTTTTTACCATTCTGTTGAAGCAAAGTTGGTATTGATTGTTGAGTGTTTTAAAAAAAAACACTCTTACAGATTAAATTAATTTTACTTTTTGAGAGGGTATGCGAAACAACCGCGAGTACTTTTTGGCTCTTTGGCAGGAAATAATACTCTATTTATTCTAAGTATTCTGCTGTGGCTAACGGACAGTCCTCATACAGGTTGTCTCTGCTTGAAAAAAATCCAATCATTCCCGAAACTTCCACGATGCTCTGTAACAGTTGAGCAGGGGCATTTTTAACGACTCCTCAACATGTCGATCAAACATTCATCAGGTACTCTGCTTTTTGAGACAAAGGCCATTATTTTGTACAAGTTCCAATGTGAAGAGAATAATGGATCAAGCTACAAATGCGGCTGAAGTTTCCATTCGAAAACACCAGCAATGCATGTAGATAATTTTCCGAAGGTCGTGATGACATTTTAATTTTATTTTTCAAATCACTTGGCCTTAGACTTTCAGAACCTTTCAAGACGGCTCAAAATTGATAATAAAATTGCATTTTGAAGACTGAAGAGATGTACTGATTTGTGTGCTTTGTAACAAAAAAGTAACAATGAGGTATGCAATAATGTGAAGAGTGATTTCATTTGTGTCAGTCTCGATACGGGATCCTGTATATGTCTGATCAAAAGTGTGATCGATTTATAAGGAAATGAGTTGGTAATCATAACATCAGTGACACACCCCTTTCGTTTTTAATGTTGGTTTCTCCCAGTTATGTGCGATGATGGCCTTAGCAAAGTTTATTACCTTTGTAGCACCAAAAAGTCGCTTCCCGAAAAAGTTCCTTGGGGTGCCATCTCATTTCTTATGATTCGATTACGTTTTTGATTATCAAAGAAGTCAAGTCAAACTGAGCCGGAAGAGAAATAGGACTATCAGTTGTCATTCAGAATTCTTCATTCAGAATTCGCTTGTACGCCACTGGGCTTACGCTGGGAAGGGCAAACGCCTTTTACAAAAACTTGTGGAGGAAATACGTAACAGATACCAACCAGAAAAGCATTGTGGGCTACTTGCTGTCTTCGTTCACGCGTGCATTCATTGCACAGGTATCGTGCGCATGCAGTTTTGACCCTTGTTATTGTCCAATGAACTTTGCCACTGAGTGCTTGACAAACATTGCGTCACGCAGTTGTTCTTCTCGATATGGGAACACGCGAATGGCCAGAACAGCATGCCTATCGTCAGACGAGGTCCGTAGTAAACTCCCTGCCGGCCGCAACAGGTGAAGATATTCCCCAGCAACTGGCTGATTGAGGAAGAGCTTTACCAGCCAGCGGTGCCAGAGAAGAGAGCACAAGATCATGATGCTTCAAACAACGCTCACAAGACTATGTAGAGATTATTTATTGCAGCACCTTTAGCGTCTCTGGGCTTCAATGTTGGGAGGCGGCTATTTGGCATCGCTTCTGAATATTAAAAAAAGATGCCCCCTCCATATTTTCAATGTGTTTCGCGAAAATGGTTGAGGCATTCGGTACGATGGCCTTTCTGAGAAAACATTTTTCATAGAGCTTTCTTTCTGTTGACATCACACCAAAACACGTGTGAGAAAGAAGCTCACCAGCTGTTGTGTACCTCGTCACACCAATAATCAGCACAGGACAAAAATGTACGACAGCAAGAATCGAAGATTCTGGCAACTGTTTGCGCAGCGATGCCTAATCCGCAAGATTAATGTTTCCCAGAATGGCATCACGGTTTGGCTCATCATTATAGACATTTGTATTGGCATGACGTAAAAAAGGAACAAAAATGTCATCCTGATAGGAAAAACGGAAGTTGGAAAACGATAAATTGGGACTAAGGGCGTATCCAGAACCAAGTTGGGGGGAAACAATTATGAAATTTGCAGGAAATATTTTATGGCCTATATTTGAGGGTCTAGAGGGTACCTTTTACGCGCTTTGGGAAGGAAGGGAAGTGAAATTGATCAAAATAATAGCCGCTCATCGGAGCGTCACCATATTCTATGGTTTTCATTATTTTCTTACTGTGAGGGAGGGTCGGTCGAGGGGAAATTGGGTTACTTGCTTTCCACCGGAAATTCTTCAGATAACCCTTTTTTCGTGGTTGCGAATTCCAGACGGGGTTGGCGGTAGCGTAAAAAAGGTTTTTCCTCGATTGGAGCCGATCGGTCGAAAATCTGAACCACAGAATGAACGAACCCCCTCCCAGTCCTGGGAGGGAGGATAGCCCTGTTTCCCCTCCCCGGATCTACCTCTTAAATAGGAAAATCGGGTTTAAGGGGTTGTGTGAATAGCCAACAGCTCTAGCAACAATGGGTGAAGAACTCGCCCCTTCCCGTTCAGTTTGCCTTGCTCTGCGGTGTGAGCGACATTTTCGGGCTCCGCGAGGATCCGATCACTACAGAGCTCCAGCAAGTGTGGGCGAAGAACGCCCATGAAGTCTGCCTTGCGCTGTGGTGTGAGCGTTTAATACCGAGGGGTGCACTGTCCCAATTCAAAGAAAATTCGCCGCCGGGCCGAGGCGCTTAAAAAGTACCTCTACAAATTCTTTCGGAAAGGAGTCTGTGTGGGCCAAGAAATTGTGTAAGTATATGGCCCAGGATCAACTCTCTAGATCAAGGGCTCACATTCGGGGCAAAACGGACAAAAATGTTATTGAAAAAATGTCGGAAGAGCCTTCAAAAGTCTAGGGATGTTATTTGACAAATGGCTGAGAAGACTTGGAAACGTTCATTTTTTTTGGGGGGGGGGTGAGTTTGCTTTTGGCGGATAATTGAAATTTTAATTGGTTTACCTTCTACAATTTAAAAAATCAAATGAAATCTGAAGGACCAAAAGTCAGATTTTGTTATTTTTTGCTTGAGAGGCTTCAACCTTGGGACTTCGGTTCATTTTACACCATTTCCGATCGAGTTCAATTAGTGCAGCGCACCCTGGGTGATGTCCTTTGGACTCCACTGTATCAGGCCAGCGTTTATTGCGGTTTCTTTGGCATGAAACGACCGAGAATATTTCTCCCCACCCCCTTCTGCTGTGAGATGGTACAAAATAACCTGGCAACTTCAGGGTTAACACTGGGATAAAACTGACGGAACTTGATGACATTGATTGGTTTCTCCCAGCAATCCCGGAAGGAGGAATTTCCATTGTGTTTGCTGCATCAGAGTCTATCTGCCATAAAATGCTGACAACCATAGAGGGCGCTATTACCACTCCATGAAGGCTACGACATCACACAATGGTAATGGAAAGATTTATACCAGGCAGGATATGGGACGGAGGGGTGCCCGCCCCCTTACCTGTCCAATCCCTGTACACACTCTAGACTATTGTTAC